AGAGCATTTTGTGCGAAAATAAATTAAATACTGGTAGTGTGGCAATGGCTTTGGCACAAGGAGAAGCAGTTATATGCAAGGTAAATGCATCTGGACCATGTGGTTAGGGGAATTTTTTCACTCCTTGATGAATTTTGGACTATAGCTCCTGTTGTACAGAAGGAACAGATCAGGTGGGAGAGAAGAAGCAGAAAGTAAAGAATAGAGGAAGAGCACAGACTCTGTCATATGTTTGATGAAGACAAAACTGATGGCATCAGTTACCAAAACATCATCTTCATAAGCTCTCTGGCTCCCAGGTTTGTTTGTTGTTGTTGTTGTTTTTAAAAAGCTGATAAAATGCAGAGATTCATGTCCACATTGAACACGTGACCCCAAACACATTCATGGCTCCAGCATACACGTGTGTTCTCCAATGTGTGAAATCAGGAGGCAGGAGCCACAGAAGGTACATAATTGCCATTTAAAATAAAATATCTCTTCTGGATGGCCTGATCCTGCTGCCACTGCCTTCACTGGGGCTGAATCAGGCAGTTATCAGTGCCATGTAACTCCTCCCTCACAAACCATCCCTCCAGCCATACTTCGTAAAGCTGCAGTCAAATAATTATCCTGTGTCGTTAAAAGTACGTGCAGGAGGGGATGAAATTCTCTTCCTAAACATAGCTTACAGCACATTCATTTAAGTGTAAATGCTGGGGTTTCTGCACTTGAAGAGAAAAACAGAATCAAAAGCAAATGTTTACCTGCCATGGATCCAGGAGGCTTCCATCACAGTCCCTGCAACATAAGTCAAGTACTCCTGACTATGGAAATCAAGCTTATTTTTCAGAATGTCATCCATTTGTTGTTTTCTAAGTAATTCTTTTTGGTCACACTAAGCCTTAAATTAACCCCCACTCCTCCCCTCTTGCAATTTTAGCACGATGGTATTAACTGCAGAATGAACAAAAAAAGCCCTTCAGCTGCCACTTCAGCACACCCCATATCTGGGATTGTTTTTACTTTCAGCTTTTAAGGTCAGAACACACACCCAGCAATAACCAGCCCCCTTTTTTTTTTTTTTTTTTCCCTCTAAGAAAACTGGAGAGTCTACTACCTAAAACAAGGGAGTTTTGTGAGCAGGAGTCAAGCCTGTGCTTTTGGCATTGCAGGTGTGAAGCTCTCATAACCTGGGCCTGCATTTCTGGGCTTTGTTAAGCCTGGCAGCAAACGCTGCTGGAGATGCAGCTGGCAGGGAGCACGTGGAAGGCCTTGCACCCAGTTCCTATGAATGGCAGCTTCTCTTAATAACCACACACACAGAGCAGAGTTGTGCGTTTTTATTCCTTTCTAGACGGAGCTGTAATTCCATACTGGAGTATATGCATAGTCCCAAAAGGTTTGTGTGGAGTGACTAATTACCTTTCTCCTTAGAAATGGGCAGGGAAGCATAATATGTGTGTGATTACAAGGACATAAAAGGAGCGTAGGATTATTTTCCATGAGAATCCTTGGGAATATCTTGAGGGATGGCTGTCTAAGTTGGTGCTCTCTGCAGGACTCTTAAACTCTCCTCCCAGCTTCTTCATCATGTGCAGTGATTTATCCCTGAAAAAGCTATTCAGTGGTGCATGGGGTTAACCATGAACCTTCTTTAGCTCTAACTCTCCACCTCTGAGTCCTTCCAGGACACTCATAAGCCATGTGCTATATTTGCCTAGCTGGAGTTGTTATGAGGATGTTGACACAAGGAAAAATATCTGCCTGGAGAAGAGGGTGGACTGGCACCCTTTGAAATCAAATATTGTCAAGCATCTTTAAAGTTCTGCATGGGTCATGTCACCGAACAGCCCTGAAGCTGAGGGCTGGGTCCAGAAGGACACAAATAGGGTGCATATAACTCATTTCCCCTGTGTACCATATGCCACTGAATGCCTGACTAAGCCACATCCTCATTTCCATATTTCAAAAGCTTAACTTAACTCTAGAAGCCTTTCCAGATCAATACCTGTAGGGGGGTTTCTCCCAAGTCTCGGCCTGGACTGGGTAATCCTGCAATTATAACTGCTCAGACGCTGAATAGGACCCTCTACTCACAGCAAGACACTGAGTGAGAAAAGGAGGTCAAGCCATGAAAACTGGTTTTGCTAAAGTAAGTAGTCAACTGTTTATTGTGTCACCTGCTGAGGCTGATCAAAGAGCTTTGCAATAAAGGGGGCATGAATGTTCAGAAGGGATGGTCTCACAATAGCTGTGCAAGACAGGGAGGAACGCCCAAGTTAATTTTGGCCATCAGAAGGCAACTTTCTGAAATGCACTCAAAGGTTCAAGCCTAATTCAAATAATCCCCGAGGAGGGGAGGAAAAGGTGTGCACAGCTCCAGTGTTTTTCCCAGGCCCATCCACTTTTGTGTTCCCTGAAGTAAAACCAGATTATTTGACATCTGTTTGTTCAGCTCCCATGAGGCTTTGGAAACAGCTGTATCAAAAATGCAGAAACCTCTCAAGGGTGGAAAGGCATCTCAAGAGAAGAGCAGCCCTTCCCTCATGCCAAAAGTAGCCTGGCTTTAGGACTAATCCTGAGGTTGCTGTGACACTTGCAGAGTTCATGCACATTATTTTTTTGATTTGATGGGCCAGGGCACGCTGAGTTGGGAAGGCACAAAAGGAAAGTGCTGCTGGGGGACTGACAGCAGTAAGTGAAGGTTTCATAGCAGTTTTTCCTTCCAATCAGTCAGCACAAAAAGGTAAGTAAGAAGTTAAAGAAGTAGCTGTGCACCTATCTCTTGCTGTCGCCAGGGTGGAATTTGGGGTGGGGGTGGGAATGCTGAAGTGCTGAACTCAAGATCAGAGCATTTTCCTGCCATCTGCACCACAAAGACGATGTGTCATGTGCCAGTGAGATTACAGTTTAGGTTTGTTATCATCCCTTTATATCAGAAGGAAGTTATGCACACAAAGGAAACACCAAACCATCGTGTTTGGGTAGCTATAAATCACATACTGCTGAATATTACGAGGGCAACAGAGTGCCCAGTTAGAAAGCAAGGGTTTTGAAAAAGACCCCTTTTCCTCACAATCTCCTCATTTCAATAGACTTTGCTTTTATTTTGGGAGAGGGTGAAGGAGAGCTTATGGTTTTGTGAAATCAGCTACGAATGACAGCAGATTTGTCCCACACAAGTGACTCATGGCTGACTGCGTGCGCTGGTCAATGCCTTCCCAGACACCAGCACAGTCATTGCTGTTGCCCATGTTGGTCCCTTGGTGTCCTGAAAACTCACACAGGCAACAGCACAAGAGATTTCCTAAGATGTCTTGCCACTTTCAGCCCTAGTAAAACACAGGTCTACAAAGAAATAAAAAACAGAGAAAACACTGGGATAGTCAGTTCTTGAGCAAAGCAGCTCATCTGGCAGTGAGGGTCCTTTCGGCTTTCCTGCTCTGATCTTACCACCCACCAAAAGGACATACTGGGAAGACTGCGAGGGGTTCTCCACCTCCTCTTCCCCTGGCAGGTGCCTGAAATGATCCTGACAATTCTCCAAACCGCATGCTGAAATCCCACTCCTGCTGAAAAAGCCCCTTAGTATTTCCACAGTCTCTGACCTCCCAAAAAGTGTCAACTGAAAGATTTCAAGCTGACTGCAAGTGCTGTCGACTGTTTCTGTGGCTCTTAAATTCTGGGTGATTATAATGGGGGAAAATACAGATGTAATCATTGCTTTTAAAATATGATTGCTGCTTGAAGGAATTATCGGTGAGGGGGGTAATTGTCTGGAGGATGGCATGATTCAGGACTGCTGACTTCCACTCCTCACTCATTCAAAGTCACCAAGTGAGTCAGTGGAAAAATCATTGAATTCAGCACAGTCAACAGGGTACCAACATTCATATTTAGGTTCCTAAATCAACAGTGTGGAAGATTTCAGCTCAAAGGTTTTACAAGCAAGAGTGAGTGAAGGTAGAAGGTTACGCTGCAAGCCCGCAGTAAATGCCATTCTGAAGTTTGCTGCTTCAAATTCCAGTGCTTCTCAACCTAAATAAGTGATAGCTAAACGTGTAACAGCACTCAGGGAAGTCCATTCCAATCCAAGCAGAAACGAGGTCCATACGCCGGATTCTCTGCAACAGCTAAAGCATTACTTAGCAAAATAAATGTTTCTTTTGAATACAAAACACAGGACAGTCATAGCATGCAAATCGTTAGTATGCAGGAGCTGCTGCCTTGAAGCTCTGCCACCAATGGCTAATTAATTCTAGGTACTGTAACGAACACATCACAGGGAAGCGCTATTCTGTGTCTGAGCAGAAGCTCTGTATACAAACAACACAAGGCACAAACAGAAATCGCACCTCTGAGAGGGAGCCTTTTCATTCAGAAAAGTCAGTCATCTTGAACGCGACGCTCGCAAGAACCGGCACGGTAACCTGAATGTCAGAGAAATAAAATTGAGTATCTATCGGCATGAAAGCAATACCAAGAGGGAGGGAAATCATTCAGAGAACACATCGCTCAGCAGCTTCTAAATTAGTAGGACAGTGAAAGCAGAGATCAAATATGAGATCTTGCAAATCCACAGGAAATGACTCAAGAAGCCAAATCAAGTAAAAATTCAGCTTCCAAGCCTCAGACACATTTGCTTCTCACCATTGGGGTGAATACGTGCACACACAACGTGAGCACATAAAAATACATCCAGATCACACAGACAAGCTCTCAAGTATTAATCAGACAGTGATTAATACCCAGTGGTAATACCTCAGTGGTATAGGCATTATGATGTCCTTTTAATTACAAGATTGTGCCCTGGGTTTTTCACATGGCCATAACTCTGCCCTTATTCTGCTTCTGTAGTAAGCCATTGCTAAATGCCACGCTTCCCACTTCAGGTGCATTGATGTTCCTGCTGACCATGGAAATTTTTGGCATGAAAGGTTTTAAGGATGTTAGAGGTCTGTGCAATCACAACATCCTTGGAAAACAAAACAAAAAAAAAGACATAGGATGGGTAGAAATGTGTCAAATCATTACTTCTGGTCTTTTATTGCACAGCAGCTGAAGATGTTTCTGCCATTTCCTTGCCCCTAAACATTTACTCCTGCCCTGACACTTCCTTCTGCTGCCAACTCAGCTTCGCCAAGATGTTTATCATGCCATTCTGCAAGCTGGATCCTTGAATAACTTTCCAAAATAAAGAGGTATTGGGGGGTATTATTAGCTGGGACCATTCAGCAGATCCAGCAGTGTCACTCCTCAACTCGGGGGATGCATTAGCGCAGCAGAGGGGATGACAACACTGTGCTTTGCAGAGGAATGAATGGGTGGGAAGGGGGTGGGGAGATAGGCAGCATTTCCACCCAAAAGAGCATGCCATGGGCTGCCAAGTGTTGGAAAGAAGGCTTGCACTCCCACACATCGTCTGGTATTATGGCCAAACCTCTGGCAGTGGCTAGAGCATTACCATAATATTGTAATGCCCCCAAAGCAGTGGATGAATTCTGCTACCACCTCCAAAGGATATGCTGCTTCTCCCTGGGGGTGACTGCCCAGAAAGAAGACCTCAAAGCTTTCATCAGCTCTTGCCTTTACCACATTACTAGCAGTCCACAGATTTTTCTCCAAGTGTCCATTTCTGTTCCTGAAAAGAAAATTAGCAGCACTTAGAAACTGAAACCCAACAGAGCAGAAACACAATTTCCATACCAAAATATGAAGGCCCCTTGAAGACTAAATCCCACAGATTAGACTTGAAAGATAAATCAGCAAGTGGCTCCCTCAGGAAGTGCAGCTGCATTGAGACTGAATATCCCTATGCAATGAGAGCAGAGAAGGCACATTTTCCCTACCTGCAATGGGGAAGGGATGCTTCAACACAAGGGGCCTATGGAAGCTGGAAGGGCAAGGTGATGAGCTTGGGCGGGACACATTTCTTCTCCCAGGGTTGCCAGATCACAGAGCACCTGGTGGAGAAAAGCAAAACCAAAACTCAGCTTCAAACTTTCTTTTCAATAGTCAGCTCCTGTTACCCCCTCCTCTGTGGACCAAGCAAATCCCGAGGGCAGATGTCAAGGCATAGCCATAGACACAAGTTGGGAGAGTGTTTACAGTTATGGCACTGTTCATTGCAGCAAAAAAAAACATTTAAACTGGCCTACAAAAAAAGCTGCACGATGCTACCAGCATGTCAGCACAGACCCCATAGCAATGCTGAACATGGCTACATGGATCGATTTGAGCTCTTATAAGGGGAAGATGAGGTGGGAAGAACACAAGGGTGGTGAGAAACCAGATATATGGGCTGAGGAGCCCCATCACCTCAGGATGAGCTGCTGTGGGGCCAACACTGGCCCCCTGGGCTCTTCTTTTACCAACTGGCTGCCAGACTCCCCACTGGACACATAGCATTTTGGTATGGAAATTCTTCCCATGGGTCTCATCAGCCATGGCAAGGAGCTGCCCTGGGTCAAACTGAACCGAACCAACTGGGCTGGGCTGGAGAGGTCAGGCTGAGGTGAGCCAAGATGTCCAGAAAAGGACAACGAAGATGGTGAGGGGAATGGAGCATAAGTCTGGTGAGGAGTAGCTGAGGCAGCAGGGGGTGTTTAATCTGGAGAAAAGGAGGCTCAGGGGTGGCCTCACCACTCTCTACCTGAAAGGAGGTTGTAGCCAGGTGGGGATCAGCCTCTTCTCCCAGGCAATCAGTGACAGGACAAGAGGACATAGTCTTAAGCTGCACCCAGGGAGGTTTACGCTGGGCATCAGGGGGAATTTCTTCACAGAAAGGGTGATTAGACATTGGAATGGGCTACACCAGGTGTAGTCACCTTCCCTGGAAGTGTTTAAGAAAAGACTGGATATCTCAGTCAGTGCCATGGTCTAGCTGACATAGCGGTGTTCGGCCAAAGGTTGGACTCGGTGATCTCAGAGGTCTTCTCCAACCTAATTGATTCTGCGATTCCGTGATCCTGACCGCGGCCCGGCAGCGCTGAGCCAGGACTCGCCGGGTCGGGCTGCGCAGGGCTGAGCGGGGCCGGGGGAGGCTGAACCGGGCGAGCCGAGCGGGGTCAGATAGACCCGCAGCCGGGCGGGCCCATCCCATCCCATCCCATCCCACCCCACCCGGGCCCGGCCGCGGGAGGCGCTGGTGGCGGGCGGGGCGCGGGGGCTGCGGCGGGCGCGGGGGGCGGCGCCGGCGGGCGGGGGCGAGCGCGGCGGGACCGCACCCGGGGCGCTGCGCTGCGCCGCGGGGGCTCGGGGGGCCGGGCCGGGGCGGTGCCACCGCCGCCCGTGTCTCCTCCTTCCACCGCCGCCGCCGCTGCGGCTCCGTCCCCTCCCTCCCTCCCTCCCGGGTCCGGCGCTGCCCTGCCCCGCTCCCGGCGGCCGCGGCAGCGCCGCCGCCGCTTCCTGCCGGGGCTCCCCGCTCCCTTCCCTCCCTCCCTTCCTCGCTCCGCCGCCCCCCGCGGCGCCCCGCCATGGCGTGAGCGCGGCCATGGGGCTGGCCCGGCGCCGCCGCCTGCCCCCGGGCGCTGCGCCGCTCCCCCGGGCCCGGACCCCGCGCCGCCGCCGCCGTCGCCGCGCCCCGCCGCGCCCCCGCGGTGTGCTGACCGCCGCCTCGCCTCCTCCTCCTCCTCCGCCCCCGGCCGCCGCCGCCCGGCGACGAGCGCGGCCGTAGCCCCCCCTTCCCTTCTCCTCCTCCTCCTCCTCCTCCTCTCCCCCCCCCGCCGCCGCCCGCGCTCCCGCGCCGTCGGGCCCGGCGCGGCCGCCAGCCCCGGCCCGCCGCGGCGCGGCCTCCCTCGCCATGTGAAGCGCCGGAGAAGATGCGGAGGCGCAGCCCGGCCGCCCGCGGCGAGGGATGAGCCTAGACGGGGAGAAGATGACCGAGGAAGCCTACCCTGACGAGTGAGCGGGGCCGCGGGCGGGCGGAGGGGGGCTCTGGGCGGCGGGGGGGGGGGGGGTCACCCTTTGTTGCCCCCAGGGGGAAGCGGTGCCGGGGGTCGCTCACCCTCCCTCGGACAGACGGACCGGGAGCGGGCGGACAGAGGGACGGCGGGCACGCGCGTACGTGTGCGCGCCGCCCGCCCGCGCATCCGCCATTTCGCGCTCCCCCCCGGGCCGCGCTCATTTGCATACGGCCCTTTCATTCATAAAAAACCCCCGGGAGGGCGGCGCGGGGCTCCGGGGGCACCGCAGGGAGGGGGCCCCGCGCCGCCGCTCCCCGCCCCGGCCCAGGGGCTCGGGGCGCCCGGGCGGGGGCGGCGGAAGCGGCGGGGAAAGGAGGAAAGTGGGGGAGCGCTGCGCGCCCCCGCCCCGCGGCCCCCGGGTCTGTGGAGGGGGTTGAGGTGGTGGTGGGGGGGATGTTCGGGACGCGGAGCTTGAGGCGGGGAGCGGGGGGGGGACACACGACGTCTCGGGTCCCCGCCCCAGCCGCCGCCGTTTTGTGAATAGGAGGGCGGCCGCCGCCGCCGTCACATGACGCCGCATTCATAAACCCGGTCACCGGCGGCCTCCCCATTCACCGGCACCCCCCCCCTCCGCCGCACCCTCGGGGGGATGCGGGTTCCCACCCCCGCTCCTGCCGCCTCCCCGCGGATAAATGCCCCGCCACCACCGATAAAACCCCCCACGAGAGGCCGCGCCGAGGCTTTCAAAATGCCTGACGGTGCCCTTTTCCCCTTTTTTTTTTTTTTTTTTTCTTCCCCAAAAATAAAACCCAAGGCCATTGCGGGGGGGACGGCAGGAAGGGCTTTTTCACGCCGCGCTGGCCCAAGGGCTGTTCCTGGCTATCTCCTTCGGGGTTTTGACAGTCAAGAGGAATGACTCACTGGCGTGCAGGACTGGGTTGGTGCCAAGCGCCATAGGATGTACCGTGCTTTAAAGTGACTCCTCGCAGGGCTTATAAAGCAGCGTCAAAATTGTGCAACTTTTTGGCTCGTTTGGAGCCTGAGAAAATATCATAATTGGTGGCATGCGCCACACTCGCACCTTCGTCCCGGTAAACTTATTTTAGGGCGATTTGCTGGAGAAGCATGAGTGGCAAAGGAAATGGCTTCTGCCTGCAACGTGCTGAGAGGGATTGTTATTTTGGCAGTTCTTAATGAAGAGACTATAAATACGTGTTTATATGTAGCTTCTGAAATTGTGTTTATTTTGAAGTTGGTAAGGTTCTTGCAATGAAAAAGAAAAAGTCTAGTTTCTCTTGCTTGGATTATCATGACCTAACAGGCTGGAAAAATGTGGCCAACTCATTTCCAATAAAAACCTGCCAGTTCTTCGTTTGGGGTTTATTTTTTTCGTTGTTTAATTTTGCAAATTGGACAAGAGGAGGGGAAGTGGGTCCCTGTTTCTGGGTTTGAGAACACAGGGCCAAAACTAACCCAATTCGGTGGACAAAATCTAACACTCAGACAGCCTTCATCTTGTGGCAAGATACTGCTCCAAATGTGTTTTCCTGCAGGGCTTGGTGTGGAGGTGAGTGTTGGTGTAAAACACCGAGCACTTGGCTCTGATGGTTGGTTGGGGTTTTCTTCCCTTAATTGTAGGCTGCAGTTTGTTTTGGAGTAAATTTTTCCTCCACGTGCCGCTGCGCTGCCATGCTGATGGAGGCTTCAGCTGATGGGTTTCGTGTGTGTCCCTCCCTGGGCCGGGGAGGGAAGCACTTGGGTCACACCACCTCTTGTGGGGTCACCAATCAACCCAACAACGTTGTGCTTCAGTCCCTGGGAGATGGAGATTGCTGGTGGCCATGGGGAGCTGGTACCCAACCCATTCCCAGGCCACCAGTAGCCTTTTTATTGGGGCCTGGATGTGGTGGCTTTCAGGATAAATGATGCCTCATGGTCCTTACCCCAAGTGGCTCTTTTGCAGGCCATGGTTGGGCTTGTCAAGAGTTTAGTCCAGGCCTTTGCCTTGCAGGGCACAGCGAGGTGTTTTAGGTAAGCCATGGTTTCCTCTCTAAGCTCCTCGCTTCCAGCCTTGCATTGATTGATAGCGTCGCTGAAGCCGGTGACTCATGGGTTGTTTTTTCATTTCAGTGGTGGGTGAAGTGATTTGATTTTTTTTTTTCTCCAATATATATGGTGTTAAAAGAAATAAGGACAGGCTCTCCTGATAAGTTTTCTCAAGCTGTCAGAACAATGGTAGTATAGCGTGCTATTTGCCCTAGATATCTGGCTTTAATTTGCATAGCTATTCTTGTTTCACAGAGTGCACTGCGAGCAAATGTTAACAGCCAGATTACAAAAAAAAAAAAAAAAAAAAGACCACTGTCAGGATGCCTTTTAAAATAAACCTCTTAAAGTAAATAATAAGGGGGTCTCCTCCCATTTTTTTACCTTTTTTTTTTTTTTTAAATATAACTTCTTGAGGACAGCTAGACAAGATTTTGAGGTTTGAGATAATTTATAAAACCGAGGAGAGAAGAAAAAATAGAGCTTGGGATGCTGTAAACTCATCGGTCCCTTCACGACTGCACCATTTCAGATCGATACTTAGAGGTCAATTTGTCATTGCAAAGCGAGCGCCTCGTTCTGCATCTCAGCCTTAATTTCTGCTTCCCTACTTTCCCTCCACACACACACACACAGTGCAGGGTGGGGGGAAAGTGGGGACGTCTGGTAATAAATTGGAGGCACGAAGCTGCAACGGTGGGAGAATTTCGGGAAGCGCTGTCTCTGTATCGAGGCGCTGGGCAGCTGCCCACTGCGAGCGGTGACCCTCTCCAAAACCACCAGCTCCCGGCTGGGCTGCCGGTGTCTTTCCGTAGGAGGATGGGGCTGAACCCTCTAAAGTGACTCGGTTATGGCCGGAGGCTGCCGCCTGCTCGTTCTGATGCATGGTTCCAAGAAAGTCACAGGAAGTAATTAAATGGAAAAGGTCAGAGAACGAGGAAGTGTTGGTCCGCAGCCTCTCGCTGCCTGGGATGGAGCCGCGATGCCCTGCCCGAGCCCGTGTCCCCGGAGTGTCCCCGCTCCTCGGAACGCGCGCTCGATTTATTCCAGCGGGCTCGGAGCGCGCCTGCCAAGTGTTTGCAAGTGGGACAGGTCCCCCGGAGGCTTTTAACGAGCTGGGTTAAGTGGGATATGTGTAGGGCTGCTGTGGTGTTGTCCGGGACAGCAGAATGTGGCGTGAGATCACACCGATGCGTTTTTCCCAGTCTAGGGAAAGAAAATTAAACTTAAGTCTCGTTTGTGCTTTTGCTGGTCCCCAAACCCCCACTTCCCTCCACCACTGAGCAGAGACCAGGGATGTTTGTCTGAATACTGCGTCCATCAATGTTGCAGTTTGCCCTTTATGCTGAAAACATAATTTATTTCCTTCCCCCCCCACCTCTCTTCATTTTCACTGTGTTTTTGCCTGGTGATTTTTCTGTAGGTATCAAAGGCAGCTCATTCAGCCAAATTATTTTGCTGCAAGTTTCAGCCAGGGAGGAAGGCATGGGACGCGCTGCGTGTCATGACATTATTGCTCGCAAATAGGACAGGAAATGAAGGATTGCCAAAATGTAACTGTTTATTTCTTGGCCTGAAAACATGCCTGTTTAAAATATGACATGTAAGTAGCTGCTTTGTTCAGTCACTGGGAGAAGTTGCTGTTTATTAGGGAATAATAGCTCTGTTGGATGAAAAAAGCTGGTGGGGGGGTGGGGGGGAAGAAGGGATTTACCCTTTCTACTCTTTCTCCTTCTGTCTTGGAAATGCTTTAAAAAGAAATTGTAGGTGGAAGGTATATGGAGAGGGTATTTTGTCGGACAACTGGAAAGGAAACCTGTGGGAAGAGGGTCGCCACAAGCAGGAGGGAGATGGATTTTGAATTTCTCAGCACATTATTAGTCCACACTGTGGCCCTGGGCAGCCCTTGGATTACCCCGATTCTGCATTGAGGAGGAGAAACCTAAACAACCCACCTTTGGGCCAAAAAGTGAGGGTTTTTTTGGTGCAGCTCCCCTCATCCAGAAGTGCTTTGGGATGCTGGTGGTGGGAGCACAGCGCAGATACCGCACCAGCAATGGGATCCTTTTTGACCTGTTTTTGCAGCCAGTTTTTTATCTCGCTGGGGCACACCCTGGAGCGTGGGTT